CAAATAAAAATGCGTGCCCCGCCAAATAGACAAGACACGCTTGGAATGCTTGTAGGACGAGGGGACATTCAATGGATGTTTCGTAGATCCAGCGGGGAGGTGGATCTTGGGATGAATCAATTTTGTAATCGATCCCCTACTCAAACCCTCGAGGCCGCCCTGCAGCTCGCAGGCCCACGCGCAAGAGATCCGCTGGCGACCTGCCCGTCCGCTGCGCCCGTGCGCGGCGCGGTGCCTCACACAAGGGTCTGCCGCGTCACGCCTCGCGGTCGCTGGCCGGAGCGGTACCCCAGGGGGGGGAGTAGGAAGGTTGGACAGCGCCCACTCTGGAGCACCACCCCAACGGTGTACAGCAATCCCGCCCCCCCCCGCCTCCCCCTCCCGCAAACCCTCGCGAAGGCGTCCCCACGAACATCTCGGAGGCTCCCTTATCACATCACCAACGGCCTGGGGTGGCGGAAGGGGCCAACGGCGAGTAAACAACGCCCACAGAGCCCCAGCTCAGCTCTCCGCCTGTACAACTCCTTTGTCGCATAAACATCCAGGGACAACGCCCCCCGGATCGGCGGTACTGGCCGGAGGTACTTACATTAGGAAGCATCACTCAGAATCAGTCCCGTGCGCCCCCCCTTCTGCTTGACGGGGGGGGAGGGAAAAGGAGAGGCTGAGCTCACGAGACAAAAACGCTCAGCTGTCAATTAACGCCAACCCTCCCAGCAGGCTGTGGGCAAAGAACACTCGGGGAGACCGCCTGCCCCTTGCAGCGCGCACCAATACAGCGCGAGAGGAGAGGGAGCATGGTCACCCGCGGGCGTGGGCGAGGCAACAAAGCGGAAGCGGTGCAGCACCCCCTGAGGGAGATCACCAATCGAGTCTGACACTATAGCGTCGCGGTGTGCCTCCTGAACACGATTTGCTCTGCACAGGCTCCTCTTCCCACGCGGTTTCCCCCGTGCGACTTGCTTATCGGAAGAGCTCGCGCATACGCGGGAGCTCCAACCGTCAGCCTTGCGGTTGGAGCGCCAGACATGTTGTTCCAGAGCACTGCCAACTCTGCCAAGGGAGCGGTGTCTCCCTCGCGCGGGCAGCCGCAGCGCGTGTATGACGAGAAAGATGTCACGATAGACCTCGCTCAAGATGCGCTCAAGGATCTCCAACAATATCTTGCCGCCCTCGTTTCTGAAGCCCCTATAGGACGTGAGACATTTGTGGGGGGCCCTGGCAACCTTGGAAATCCTTGAACGCATCACTTTCGTGACCTCTTGCTCCTCTGACTGTTTCTGCGTGGTGGCGACGCACTCAGCCGCACGAGTTCCCCTTTCGCCCCCCGCCCTCTGACATCCCAATCCATTTTCCCCACGGCGGCATCGCCGCAGCCACTGGCCTCGGGCACACAACGCACCGCCTCTGACTGCATCCGTGTTCTGTTTGCCCGCCGCTGGCGTATTGCAGGCACAGGTCTCAACACACACGTGTCCAACATTTTCCGCGCGTGCGAATTGCAGCCCCCCCCCGCCAAGCCCGCGTTCTCCATCCCGCGCTCTGTGTTGACCAACCCCTAGCCGCACAATCCCCCGTCCAACTCAGGCCAATGCTAAATCAGCCGGAATGGGGTTGGTCAAAGAAGCAGAATAAGGAGAACAAAAAAAAATCAAAAGAAGAAGAGGTGATAAACCAAAGAAAAAATGTGGTTCCCCCATGCCGGCGCCCCCCAACCCCCCCCCCCGAATGTCCCCTAATAGCGCATGTCCGCGCAGCCTTCTCCCCACACCCGTGTGTTTTGGTCCGCCACTGGCTTTGAAGGGCGCTCCGAAGAGCTGGGGCGTCACACAGCGGCACCTACGTTTCTCATAGTCGGTGTAGCCTACGCCTCCCTGGCCCGAACCAATCAGACGCATCACCGCGGCGTCACCGCAGTGTTCTGCACTGACCGAAACTGCCGCTGCTGACCGGATTGCGCACGCCAGCCGAGGCGAAGAGACTGCGGGCATTCCCCCAGACCTTTGGCGACGGCAACCCCCTGGGCTTGTAGCAGGAAGGCAGGCTGCGCTCAAGGGAACAGCTGCCAGGCTGTGGCCCTGGGAATGGTCTCGGGCGCGGAAGGCTTCCATGACTCATGACCGAGCACAGGCTACAAAAGAACACGCGGGCAAACGGAAGGGAAGCAGCAGCACCCCAGGAATGAGAGGTCAAAGGGGAAGCCCCAGGCGTGGTTCCCGGCACGCGGTCCGCGTGCGACATTCCTCCGCCCACTAGGGCCGCACGCCCGCGACGTCGGCGGGGGCCGCGCGGAGAGGACAGCACAATGCAGCTTGCAAGCTGCGGCCGCCATGCGCAAACGCAGCGAAGCGAATCTGCAGGAGCAGGCAAGCGCGGTCCACGACTCGCAAAGTAACTACTCGCGAATGGCCTGAATCCGCCGCGGGGGACTGACGGTCCAGTACATCCAGGCAAGCCCGCGTTGTTTTGCCGTTTGCGAGCAGGCACTTTGCGAGTAGAGGAACGCGCTCGGTGAAGGAGGTCATGTTCCATTGAGTCGCTGATCGCGCGCTCTGCAACGTGCACGTGACACCGACGCTGTTTTGCCATCGGTCCTTCGCGAAACAGGTGGGCCGCAAAAATCGGTTGGATTCCACCGTAGAAAGCCTTCCACGTTGCACAAGCTTTCGTCTCGTCCGGCCTATAGGACAAGTGTGCGATGACAATCCAGAATGGCAGCGAAGCCGTGCTCGCATTACAACGCACCAAGCATGGCACCCCTGGGACAAGGGCTGGCAACGCGCGGGCCACGCGCCCGACAGCGAGGCATCTCGCGAGAATCGGTGCCACCTCCAGACGGCCAGACCACACGTCGCATTGCCAAGATACAAGCTACCGCTCACGCTCCAGGATACGGAACGGGTTAGGCGCAACGACAATCCCAGGGGCATTGGTACACACAGCTGCTCTAGAAGAGTCCACTAGACCACATCGCGGGGCTCGTCCGATGTATCTTCGTGGAAGCCTATGTCGACGAAACGAAGGGATTCTGGCCTGACCGCTCCGTCAATAAAGCAATTGCTTAGAGTGTACAGCTGTGCTCTAGACTTCGGAGTCCTTATCTTATTGTGCAGCTGTGTTCTAAGGAGCTCGGAGCCCTTCATGTTCGTCGTCGTTCGTTCGGCCTCCCCCCTGAGACCCCCTGGCCCGGCGCCTCGGGATCCCTGCATCATATGCTGGCCCAAGGAAAAACCCTGGGATGGCCCCACGAGGCTCTCCACTCCTCGCCCAGGCCTGCCTGCCCCTCGCCGCCCCCTCGCGCGAGTCGGGACACGCCTGCCGCCGATCCTCGTCTCGTCGTTCGCTCGCGGTCGCACGCCCTCGTCATGGCCCCGCCCCCGCACTGCCCCCCCCCGGTTTGTGGGCCCGTGGCCCCTCGCCCAGACGCCCCCCCCCCCGGAATTGGACTCCGCCTCCCGGCCTCTCTCGCTGGCCGGCGCCCTCGCCCGCTGTGCCCTGGGGCCCACTGTGCTCGACTCGTCCTTGGCGCGATCGTCGCTCGTCCTCGGCCCTGCCACGAGCCCTTCCCCTCGCAGATCTCCCCCTGGCCCACTGACCCCTCCTCCAGGGCCAAGGACTCCTGCTTGCGGCCCATCCGCGCGCTGGCCCACCCCTGCCACCCCTGCACCCCTGGACCCTCCCTTCCCCTCTCCCTTGCCGCCTCCTCGTGCAAGGGCCAGGGAGTGCGCGCCACTCGTTTTGCACAGATGCGCTGCAAAACCTGAAAACGGCGCTTGCAACTGGCATTTGGCCGCACTCAAAAAGAATACACATCTTCAACATCTTGGAAAAAACACCCCAGATGATTCCTCGCCTTATCTGCCAGACATCTCAAGCAACTAACATGCATCAGACCGACGCACGCAGACGGACGCACGCTTCTTCATATCCAATTTCAAATCGAGAACGCCACCGTCTTGTCGCGCAGCTACCCAACGCTAGTTCGCATGCGGACGGACGAAGACGTCAAGGCAACAGCGTGGGATGACGTCCAACTCCTCCTTTTCCTCCCTTTCCTCCCCCATCTTCCTTATGTTCCTTCTTCTACTCCTCCTCTTCAACCTCATTTCCGAACGTCATATAAACATGATATCCGTCCCCATCGGCCCAAATCTCGCGCGACGAAGCAGCGCAAAATTCTTAAGGCCTCCTCCTCCTCCTCCACCTCCCCATCCTCCTCCTCCTCCTCCTCCTGCTCCTCCTCCTGCATCCTCCTCTTGATCATCCTGCTCCTCGTAAGACTGGAAAACCCAAGAATCTCAAAGAGTCCCCTTGGGATCTCCATCAGCCCTCACTGTCCACTGAGATATCCCCTGGTCTCGCCCTCATCCCTCTCTCTCTTTCCCTCTCTCTACCCCGTTCCTCTTAAGTTACTCCTCCGCGTCGCACCACCAAACATGCTGGTAAGGCAGGCCGGGCGTTTGCTTGAGACTTCCTCACCGCTTGTGGCCATGAAGCACGTAAGCGTGAAACAGGGTTTTCGAAATGTGGCTAGCCTTTTAGCGCCACGCACCTCCGTTTGAACAACTTCCAACACTTACGGTGATTGGCCTTTGCACCGCACATGTCCGCCCGAAAATATTACAATAGCTATGCCGAAGGGGGGCGACCCGCTTTCAAAATGTGGCTCTCGCCTCAGCGCCTCGCAAATTCCTCCCAAAGTTCCCCAACATTCGCAGGGATGGACGACATGTCCTTTTCAAATTTGAGCTATCGCTTGAGACTTCCTCAGAAATTGTACGCGATGAGACTGAGAAGGAGAGGGTGCACTGCAGCATCGCTGATAACTCCTGGGCCTGCTCTGAACCTAGGCTTCCTGCGCCCATCTCCTCCTCTTCCTCCTCATCCTCCTCTTCCTCCTCCTCCTCCTCCTCCTCCTCCTGCTCCTCATCCTCCTCATCCTCCCCCTTTCGCCTCCTCACCGTCGTCCCCCTCCTCGCCATCCCCCATCCCTGCCCCTCCGACGAAGACTTTGAGCTGGCGCGGCGCGTCGGCAAACGAGGGATCCGCCATCGCCCCGCCGTCGACGGTGCTCTGCCGCTCCACCGCGGATCAGGCGCCGTGGCCGGGGCAGGCATGCTCGTCCTCCCGCGCCGCTCGCGGCAGGAACGAGGCAGGCACAACAGCGCGCACAGCACACGAAACCGTGCGACGAGCCAGCACTGCCGAGCACACGAGAACCAATAGGAACAACGGTGGCTACTTGTGCTGATTCTCGTGACCGTTGCAAGCTGGTTACGAGACCTTCGCCACGCTGGCAAGCCAGCGCGTACAAGTGGGACATGGCGAGCAAATTCCACCAAGAAGCAGCTCGAAAAGCGCCACCAAGCTCTGTGCTGATGCATCCTGTTCCGAGGTTCTCGCCAAGACGACTTCTGTGTTTGCAGAGTGGGCTGGGAGGAAGGGCCGAATCATGAGGACAAGAAATGAAGGGGCCACGAGCGCATCCACGCTGGCCACCTAAAACTTCCCGCTGCGCCTTGCACACCCCAAAGATGCGCTGATGTCTTTTTCAGTACAGGTCCCCGAAAGACCAAGCCCTTTCCCAAAGACTGGCTATTCATCCCGAGTCGTTGTTGACGGCCGTGGGGTTTGGCGAGAGCAACCGGCAACGGAAAACGCAAAATAACCTCCGAGTGGATGTGTTCGATGTGCTGGAGGTCTGGGAAAGCGTCAGCTGGGCCCATCAATACAAGGAGTCCTAGGTGTGGCACCTCCGTGCCCAATATTCTCCGAGGTTGGACGCCTCAGGCAGCGCTGTATTGCAACCACCTCCCATTGCATCGTCCACTCCCCGTACACCCAGCCAACCCCGCCCGTCCACATCATCTCCCTCCTTCCTTTGCCTGCTCGCCTCCCTCTTTTCCTCGCCCTCATCCTTCTCCTCCTCCTCCTCCTCCTCCTCCTCCTCCTCCTCCTCCTCCTCCTCCTCCTCCTCCTCCTCCTCCTCCTCCCCGCCCCTCCGCCTCCTCCTCCTCCTCCTCCTCCTCCTCCTCCTCCTCTTCCTCCTCCTCCTCCGCCTCCTTCTCCCTCCTCCCCTCCTCCTCCTCCTCCTCCTCTCTCACTCCTCCTCCTCCAACCTCCTCCTCCCCTTCTTCTTTCTCCTATCCCCCTCCTCCTCCTCCTCCTCCTCCTCCTCCTCTCTCCTCCTCCTCCTTTTCCTTTTCCTCCTCCTCCTCCTCCTCCTCCTCCTCCTCCTCCTCCTCAGTCCTCCTCCTCCTCCCTCCTCCTCCTCCTCCTACCTCCTCCCCTCCTCCTGCTCCTCCTCCTCCTCCTCCTCCTGCTCTCCTCCTCCGTCCTCCTACTCCTCCTCCTTCCCTCCTCCTCCTCCTCATCATCATCATCATCTCATAATCATCATCATCATCTCATCATCATCATCATCATCATCATCATCATCATCATCATCATCATCATCATCATCATCATCCATCATCATCATCATCATCATCATCATCATCAATCATCATCATCATCATCAATCATCATCTCATCATCATCAGCATCATCATCATCATCATGCATCATCATCATCATCATCTCATCAGCATCGGCATCAGCATCATCATCATCATCATCATCATCATCAGCAGCAGCAGCATCATCATCATCATCATCATCATCATCATCATCATCATCATCATCATCATCATCATCATCATCATCATCATCATCATCATCATCATCATCCTCATCCTCATCCTCATCATCATCATCCTCATCATCATCAACAACAAAAACAAAAACAACAACAACAACAACAACAACATCATCAGCATCATCATCATCATCGACGTCGTCATCGTCGTCATCATCATCATCATCACCATCATCATCATCATCATCATCATCATCATCATCGTCAGCATCATCATCATCAGCATCATCATCATCAGCGGCAGCATCATCATCATCATCATCATCATCAACATCATCATCAGCGGCATCATCCTCATTATCATTAACAGCAGCATCAGCACAATCAGCACCATCATCATCATCGTCATCATCAGCATCATCATCATCATATTCATCAGCATTATCATCATAATCATCATAATCATCAGCATCATCATCATCATTATCCTCATCATCATCATCATCATCATCATCATCCTCATCATCATCAGCAGCAGCATCATCATCAGCATTATCATCACCATCATCTTCATCATCATCGTCAGCCTCATCAGCAGTACTGGTACTGGTGGAAGGGGATGTAGGCCGGGGGGCCTCCCTTCGCCTCTCCAGCAACACCCAGGTCGTCCCGGGCCCCAACCCCAGAGGGTGAAGTGCGCCGCGACAAGGCGGGGGCGGGGACCCCGCACCGGGAGAGGCACGAGGGGGAGCCCGATCCCCTGCCCCACCGCGGCGGACCCCACCCCCCAAGAACCCCAGAGCAGTAGAGGTGAGGGGGGAGAGAAGACCGGGGGGGACAGAGGCGGAGAGGTCCAATTTTACACCAGAGAAAACCCAATCAGTAGGAGGCCCGACAAATTCGCAACTGCCAATCTGCTCTAAAAACGCTAGGATCCCTTAAGTGCAAGCATTGATTGGGGAATCAAGACGAGAGCCCCATACAGGGGATATCGACCATCAACCTTGTACCATGATGGCGCAACAACGGGATATCCAACCTTGCGGCGCCCGTCCTGGAAGAACATGCCGATGATAGAGGCACACGTGGGAAATCGAATATTGGCACGCTTAAGTCCGATGAGCACAGCGACCGGGGCGCACAGCACGCCCTGTGCACACACGCGTCCACACACACACACACACACACACACAACAGATACGCACAACACGTCCTGCGCCCTCGCACAACGTCCCCGTGCGCGCACCCCTCCGCGTGCGAATATCGTGACATGTAGTGCCCACAACCTCGGCCTCTCGTTCCAACTGGCTCGCCCGTCAGCCAGGACAGGGGTACAAGTCCCCTCGTCGCCAGGGGTTCAAGGCCCCCCTCCCCTAGGAGACGGTACAAGGCCGCCTCCCGGCGCAAATGGGGAGACCCGCGGACGGGCGACGACGACCCAGCTAACAGGCGAACCCAGCTGACGGACGGCGGCACACGTGCACCCCTGCGGACGCGAAGCACCCTCGGAAGGCCCTCTTCCCCCCCGCCTCCCCTCCCGGCCCTGAGATAAGGTGTTACTGCGGCCCGTTGGTTGTTACTGCGGCCCGGTGGGTGTTAGTATGGCCAGGGGTCCTCCGGAGTGTATGAATTATCGAGTACGGTGAAGGGGGGGGGAGGGGGGGGGCCAAAAAGGCTCCGCCCCCCCCCCCCCCC